GCGAGGATACTGTGGGAGACGGTGTCAAATGCTTTACTGAAATCGAGATAGATATGATTAAAAGTCAATAAAATATTAAGTATTCAAAAAATATAAAAAAGTTTAGGTGTATACAGTTTAAACTGGTCTGTTATCCTGTGGAAAACATGAAATATATTAAGAAGCATGAACAAAAAAACTATTATCTGATAGAAGATTTTATTTTTATAAAAGATACTATAAAATAGATTATTCTCAGACTCTCTTGCAGTTTAAGTGTGTTTATAGAAGTAAACTGCTCCGGGAAAAAAAAAACCCTTCGAATTTTTTTTTTTTTCCATCTGAAAAACCTAGAACTGGTAAAAAGTTTACATGCAAAAAAAGTGATTTGGAATACAAAACAGTATAAGTAATATTAAGATATTGCTGGGTAAAGGGCATTGAGCGATATAAAGGGCTGAAAATTGAAGTTGAGGTAGTGGAAAGAATAAAGAAATGTTGGACAATCTGCAAAAGCATCTCATTTTATGGAAAATAATATAATAACTGTGATTATTTCATTTATCAATCCAAAATCAAAACGCAAAAAGGAAATTTAATTCAAAAGCCTGATAAACATCTAGGGGGGCTTTAGACATGGTTTCCTACGAGTAAAAAAACCTAGACAAGAAACTGAGCTGTATTCATCATTAGCCATTGAAGGAATATGCAAAGATTTATCATCAAAAAGGACCTTGTTAGATCTGTTTTTGAAATTGTGAGGAAAAGTTTCTCTAATATTAGAACATCACTCGTAATATCACTGCTAATTTGAATGGAACTGGAGTTGTTGCCTATTCAATGTTGTCACTGTGAAGTATTATTCTCAGCTACAGAATTTTACATAACCTCTATTACAAAAAAAAAAAAAGGCATCTAATCTAAGCTTTTAGTTTACTATTTATGATACTTTTAGATAATTTTAGATGCAGTTTTACTAAGTACAACAACTCAATTCAGAATGAAGTGTTTAAAAGTGCACTATATATTTGTATTATCCTAGCACATTTCATTTTGGTTGTTTTGAAATAACCAAAGATGATACAATTTGAGAAAACATATCATGCTTATCCAGTCCAAAAGGCAAAAGTTTTCATACCGTAAAAGCTAAATGCATCATGTTTTACAAACCAGACATTATATCCAGACTACAGAGATTTCTTTTAATTTGCCAAAACTGCCAGTTTGGCCAAATTTCTTTTCCAAACCCACAGAAATATTAGAAAATACAGTTTAGATGTTGTTAACTTCTGTA